AGTGAACTCTAGTCCACTTGAAACTTGGAAAGTAAAATGGTTATAGGAAGTTAATAAATGTGAGAAGGGAGTTAACAAAGGATGGATCAATTATTGGTAGTGGAGGAGTATGAAACTTGGGCAATTAAAAACTGTAAAGAGTCCGTTTTTTTAGGGGTAATTAATCGCTGGAATTTATCAACTAAAGCAGAGAGGACACAATGGAAAAAAGAGGATTGAATCGAGAGAGAGTCAGAGGATATTTTTGACACCAGAAGCTAAGAAAGTAGCAATTAGGGACTACCAGCCGAAAATCCTATTGATCATCAACAATTCCACATTGTAAAAGAATACAAAGAGAGACAACAAGGGGTAATCAGAGAATCAGAGAAAAAACGAAGGAATTCCTTCTTCATATTACTGCCGTTTTTTAGCCAAAAGAAAGGACCAGTTTCAAAAAGCATTTGGTCATCATTTGGAAACATTTTTTTTCCGTTTTGGGTTGTAAACGAAAGAGAACAAAAGAGATGGGGGGACATCAAAAAAAAATTATACAGAGGAGAGGAAGTGACAGAGAAAGAACAAAAAAACAGAGGGAGATTTCTCGTATTCGGATTAGAGAGAAAACTGAAAGCAACAAGTGTAAGAGAATCTTTTAAGATCAATACAAAGAAACTTTCCAGATTTCCTTTTTCCTTTGGTTCGAAAGAAAATCATAGCACTCATTAAGGTATATATATATATTTTTTCTTCCGTTTCATTTTTCAGTGCTTTATATGTGTTTATGGTATGAATACGAGTAAGAAAATTACTAGAGAAAGAAAACCAAGTAGTTTACCTTGCCCTTGAGAGGAGACGAGGTAGGCTTTGAGTAAAGGTCAGCATTTCTAGCGGTGGTTTGTAGACGTTGGTCTTGTTTCTCAGACAAAAAAAAAAAGAGAAAAATAGTGAAGATAGAAGAAAGCTGAGTTTAGGTTCGGTTCAGGGTCAAGTGTCGTACCTTGTACGTTGTTTTCTTTCCTCATCGGAGCTTTTGAGGGCGAACCACGGTGGTTGTGTGGTTCGGCCGTGACAGTTAAGGGGGTAGTGTAACCCTTAGGTCCTGTTTTTTGTTGTGAGAGACTCAAAACTAAGGAGTTTAGAGTCGTTAGAGGATGGAGGCCACGACAGCTTTGTGTTGTCTAGGGTTAGGGATGAATAAGGTTGAGAAAAATGGATAGAGGAGTATGAGAGTGAAGAACGGCGCTGGGGACTGGTTTAACATAAATGAGACTAGGGTTTAAGTTGCTCAGAATATTACGCATATATTAGATCTTCAAAACGGCAGCACTTTGGGAATGGCCGATTCGTGTGGGTTATTCAACACTTGGGTCATTTGAACTTTCAGTTTCATGCATTTTAATCCTTAAATCATTGTGTTCGTGTTTCTAATTTTGTCTCTGTGTTTTATCCGAATTTAATATTAGTCTTTAATATGAATGTATTTAAATATTTATTGTTTAGACATTTCACTTTTAACTTTTTCATGTTTCGTTTCAGTCCCTAGGTCGAAGTTTACATGTTTCTAATTCTGTCTATTTATTTTATATTCATTTAATTTTCGTCCTAAATGTTGATGTGTTTGATTTCCATTGTTTATATATTAGACTTTAAAGTTTTTACATGTTTCATTTTAGTCCATGTTTAAGTTTCTTATGTGTATGTATGTATGATTAGTTAGGATTCGTTTAGGGTGTATATTTATCCTAGGTTTGAATGATGGTGATATGTGTGCATATGTAATTACATGGTTTATAAGCATGGATTTAGATGTAATATATCCTTTTATTTAATTGATCTTTGCATGACATCATCTTTGCATAATGTATGATACCCTCATGAGCATAACTCGACAATATTACATAATTGGATTAAGGGTAATATACTTTTAATTTAAAATTGTTTTAAGTGGGTAGTCATAACTGATTTGAGGTCCGCTTTTAATGATTTTAAATTAAAAGTGTATCCCGAAAGTGAAACAAAAAATTGATTTGTCACCTAAAATTTGGGAACGAAAGAAAAGGAAATGTTCGTTTATTTAAATTTATCGAGAAAAGGTTGTTATAACTTTTAAGATATGGTCTCGATATTTGTAAATAATCGAACATTCTTTATCTTTCTAAAACGGCTCGGTAATTTTAATTTAATTTATTTGAGTGCTTTTGAATGTTTTTAAATTTACATTTTTGTTTTATGGGATCAAAAATCAAATTAAGTTCGAATTTGTAAAGTTCAATGCAAGGACATTAATTAATCGACTAGGTACCAATTTAGGGCGTCGTGGGGGTGCTAATCCTTCCCTACACGTAACTGACTCCCGAATTCGGATTTTGGTAACGCAGACCTTAATTTGTTGTTTTAATTAAAATTAATTTTTATTTAAAATAACAAACATCTTTGGGTGCCCAATCACACCCTAATCAAAGATTGGTGGCGACTCTTTGAACAATATGTTTTAACGAAAAGAAAATTTCAAATTTTTCGAAACGAGAGGTTTTTTAAATCGCATTTGTTTTTTAAATTAAAAATCAATTGAAAAAGGTAAATTAAAAATTAATGTGGTTTTTCAAAATCTCACCTTTTCACCTGAGGGAAAAATCGTTTAGACAGCTTGGCGACTCTGCTGGGGAATTTTTTTTAGAGAGTCAGGCCGATAGTCGATTAATTAAGTGTCTTTGCAATTGAAAATTATAAATTCTCTTTAATTTGGTTTTTGATCCCTTGTTTGGGTTTTAATAAGTTTTGTTTGTATTTTGATTTTTTTTTTGTAATTTAATTCGATTAACAATTAAATAGTTGTACTAATTTGTTTGCTAATGATTTCAGATTAATTGTGTGAATTTAGGAAATTTTGAGTGTTTTTATTGTATTTTTTCGCTTTTCCTCACACACTGCACATTGCATTTTCATGACATGAGCTAAAATCCCACTCCGTCCTAATTAAGTAGGAGTGAGAGAATATGCCCTCGTGTGGTTTTCACCTCCGCATGGGATAGTGGATCGCTCCTGGAGCTCACGCCTTATGGTCCTCGTGATGGTAATCACCTCCGCATGGACATAAGGAGGTGTGTTCCCTCGAAATTGAACTCGATCCCCTAAAGCCTGTGATGGGCCAGGATTGAGGGATCGGCAGCCCAAGGGGCACCGGCAAGGACAATTCGAGAACCTATTACTTTAGAACCTAACCCGGCATATAGTGAACGTAGAGCCTGAACTTAGGTTGAACCAAACCCGAACCTTAAGAATCCCGTGAGGAGAGTACACAAGGAAAAGCTTTTTTTTGAGTTATTTATTTTCGTTTTTCGAGAAAATGCATGCGAACTAGATATCATGCGGTTAGGTTTATTTTTTGAATAAGCATGCAAACTAGATATCACGCGGTTAGGTTTATTTTTTGAATAAGCATGCAAATTAGATATCATGCGGTTAGGATTTATTTTTGTGAATAACAAAGCATGGGGGTAGATATCATGTTGGGTAAGATATGATAAAGCATGATTGGGTAGCCAGCATGTGGGTAGGATTCTTGAACAAATTATTATCCCGATTTAATGGCTTTATGTTTACTAACTGATCTTTTGTTGTCTTTGCTTTATTTCTTTTCTGTTTTGCATTGCACTATTCATTACATGGTGTTGATTTGGGATCGATGTCCATATAGAAGGCCAGTAATATGGAACGAACGATTCAGAAAGAGGTTGAAGACAATGTCGATGTTCTGAGGTGGTCGAAATAGTCCCAATTGACCAATGGGGACAGCGTGATGCCTGGATACGTGTCGGAGTTATTTGGTTATATTCACATTAACGTGCGTCAGAATGATCTAAGTGAGCTAAAGGAGATATGGGGAAGATGGACAGTAGCTGATAAGGAGAAGTTTTATCATTTGTACGACGATATTCCTTATCTTCTGGATGTTCCTATTGACCGAAATCTGTTTAGAGCATTGACATAGTTCTGGAACCCGGCTTATAGCTGTTTCACATTTGGTAGAGTGGATCTAACACCAACGATAGAGGAGTATCAAGCTTTGGTCCGTTGTCCGAGGTCCCAGATAGATAGAATATATACGAAGCTGCCAGTCACTCCTTCGTTTAAGAAGAAATTATTATTGATGACCGGAATGAGTGAAATTGGGTAATCAGAAACATTAAGAAGAAGGGAGACAGTGAGTGTATCTCTTGGGCTGCTTTGAAAGAAGTAATTGATCATCACCCTGATAAGAGAAAGAAGCTTGATTTGTTTGCGTTAGGGATTTATGGGCTTGTTATTTTTCCAAAGGTGCTAGGATATGTAGACGTATCAGTCGTTGACCTGTTTGAAAGATTAGACAAGCACGTGGATCCTATTCCAGCCATTTTAGCTGAGATGTTCTGGTCTTTGAGTTCTTGTAGGCACGAGGGAGAAGGACGCTTTATAGGATGTGCGCCTTTGCTGCTAGTGTGGATTCTGAGTCATTTCAAACATGTTGAAAGAGCACCAGGACGAGTGTTTCTAGAGGGGTTTTTGCCTTTGAAAGATTTTCTTTCTAAAGAATGGCCTGGGGGCTTCACCGAAGAAAAATGGATGTTTATCTTCAAGGATATCAGAGATGGAGATATTTTGTGGCGAGCTTCGTGGAATACCTCTTCGGATATACTTTACCGATGTGGAGAGCGAGATTGAGTTCCTTTGCTAGGTATATGGGGTTCTGTTGGGTATGCACCGCTACTAGTTTCCAGACAGTATGGATCGAGGCAGTTCATTCCAGCCACGTGGGACTTGGTAGGATCGGATTTTGCATTCAAAGGAGATCAGTATAAGGGTAAAGTTAAAGGGGTTGCTGAGGCTTGGAAGCAAACTCGTCGTGTGAATCTGTTCACTTATGATCTCGAGTTATCTCAAGAGTACGAACAGTGGAGAAGCGGTCGAGTAAATGACAACATCCCGATAGTGAATCCTGAAAATATTCAGCCGGTGGAGGAACAGTTGAGAGTGGTGCCATCTCCATTAGAGTTAGCTAAGTGCGATTTCGAAGCAGAACGGAGACAATGGAGAATGACTTTGCTAAAGTTGGAAGATGAAGTGTATCAAAAGGGATTGGAGATTGACATTCAGAAGAGTAGAGCAGATCGAATTGAAAAAATAGAGAAGCAACTTCGGCTAGATTTTGACGATCTTCGGTCAACTTATCAACGAATGGTAAAAGCTCAGGTAGGTTCTAGCTCGAGTAAGTCTGTCGAATTGAGGCAAGAGGTGGTGAGCCTCAAAAGAGTAGCCGGAGAGAGTCAAGAAGAGCTCAAGCAAAGCAGGCACCAAGTGAAGATTTTATCGAAAAAAAAGGATTCTTTAGAGCAACAGTTACAAGAGAGTCAAGCCCATAACGAGAAGTTGAAGGAGAGGATTTTAAGTTTAGAGACTACATTACGACAATACCGAAACAGGGAATGTAGCTCAAGCCGTGGGGAAGTTGAGAGTTTGAAAAAACAAGTGAGTGAGCTTGAAGCCATGGTTCAATATTCTCAGAGGCAAGCAAGTGAGTTATCGATAGTTCCTTATGAGGGGGATATACAATGGCGTTTTCGATGGGAGCGAGCTCAGGCGAGAATTAAGCAAAGAGAAGATCTTATTGCTTGTTACCTAGGACACGCGCGGAGAATAGCTCAATATTTGGTCATTTTATCCGAGGAAGCTGCTGATGTGACTGAAGAACTGGATCCCGAGGCTGAAGAAAACTAGAAGATCGTGGAGTTGCTAGCACATGTACAGCAAATAGGAGAGATGGTGCAGATTTATTTGTGAAATGTTTCAACTTTGTAATTGAACGTCGTTCTAATATAAAGAGTTGTTCTAAGGAGTCGTTCCAGGATCAACACCATGCATTTTGCATATGCATTTTTAATACATTTAAATTTTTGCATCGCATTTTATTCATTCATAATCATATAAATCATATTCTTTAATAAACAATAATGTTAACAAAATAACTCTGTGACAGAGTAATACTGGAAAATCCCAAGCATATCTACAGAACCAGGAAGAAAGTTATGGAGGACAAACTTGCCCAAATTGAGAATGCTCAGTTGGAGTTACAAGATAGTATCAAGAAAATGCAAGAAGATATGATGAATGCCCAAAAGGAGATGTTTGCCAAGTTTGCGAGTATGTTGAAAGGAAGAAATCCAGAACATGGGAAAAGCCCTATGCTAGAAGGTGTAACTGAGGACCCACTTCATCATCCAGGGTTAACCCCAGAACAATCTCAGAACGTTCAAGTGACCTCTGTTCATGTCGGGAAGGTGCACATTAATCCAGTCGGTGCTTCTGTTAACGTACAGCCTGGATCTAGTTCATATCAGGAAGAACATCAATATCATCAAGTTCCGGACCTTGATGAAGAAGCCAAGAAGGACCAAAACAATCCGTTGGAAGAGAAATAGAAGCAGTTAGAAAGAGAGGTCAGAGCCATGAAGGAAGATACCAGTGTCTATGGATTTGAAGCAAAGGAGTTAAGTCCAGTTCTTGATCTGGTCTTGCCTCCAAAGTTCAAGGTTCCTGACTTTGAGAAGTTTGATGGTACCAGGTGTCCCTCTGCGCATATCACAATGTTTTGTAGGAAGATGATCGGATACATAGAGGACAATCAATTGTTGATACACTGTTTTGAGGAAAGCTTAACTGGCTCGGCAATCCGATGGTATAACCAGCTGAGTAGAGCTAATATTAAATCGTGGAAAGACTTGGCTAAGTCCTTTCTTGAGCAATACAAACATGTAAAAGATGTTAGGCTCAATAGGATGATGTTGCAAGGAATGGAAAAGAAGTCTAACGAGAGTTTTAGACAATATGCTCAAAGATGGAGAGATGTAGCGGTGCAAGTCCACCCGCCATTGGAAGAGGAGGAAACAAATATGCTTTTTGTCAACACCTTAAGGGCTCCTTTTTTCTCGCATCTTATCGGTAATCCTTATCGAATTTTTACTGATGTGGTTACGGCGGGAGAAATGATTGAAATGGCTGTTAAGAGTGGGAAGCTCGAGGGAGGAGAGTCTAGTAAGAGGCCACCAACGAGGAAAAAGGAAAACGAAGTCAGTAATGTGAGGCAGTACGATTCTAATAACATCACTGTTTCCCGTCCTCAAGGAGCAGGGTCATCAACACAAAATGACAATAGACAAGGAGCAAGAGACCAGAGGAGAGAGAGGCCTCAATTTGATCCAATTCCGATGACTTATAAGGAATTGTTTCAGATTTTGTATGATCGGCATGTGGTTTTGTCGTATCACGTGACACCAATGCAACCTCCTTTTCCCAAATGGTATGATGCTAGTGCTCAGTGTGAGTACCATGCAGGGAACCCCGGACATTCCATTGAGAATTGTACTGCTTTTAAGAAGGTTGTCCAAGGTTTGAGAACGGGGAATGTCATCAACTTTGGTGACAGTGAGCAGCCGAATATAGCTCAGAATCCGTTGCCAAGCCATGCAGGGGCAGGAGTTAACGCGATTACTGAAGAGAGAGGAAAAAGAATTGTAAGGAATGTTAGTGAGGTGGTATCACCCATGAGTTGGGTGTGGTGCCAGATGGTTAAGGTAGGATGGTTGAGGCCCAGTTTGGTGGTTGAACAGTTTAACAGTGGAGAGGTATGTCAGTATCATAACAGTGAAGGACACAATATTCAGCAATGTCCTGACTTCCTATCTTTGGTACAAGACATGATGGACAGTAAAGAAATTGAGTTCTTTAGAGAGATTGCTGAAGAAGAGGAAGCCGAAGTTTGCGCTTCAGAAGGATCGTCTAAAGGGGTATACAATGCCAGTTGTCCCCTAATTATTACTCCCAAGAATCGAGTTGCAGAGAAGGTAGCCCCGAAAGTGGTTATTACACCTCCATCTCCATTCCCATATCGGGATAATAAACAAGTGCCTTGGAGATATGATTGCCAGATGGGAGATGTAACAAAAGAGAATGAGGAAGTAGATGAGGTGGGACGCTTTACTAGAAGCGATAGGTGTTATTCTCTTAATCCACCTAAAGAGTCTGAGAAGAAGGTTGCAGTTGATAAGGGGAAAAAGGTTGATGTGCAGATAGAAGAAGATAAGCATGTTATCAATGAACCAGTAACCGAGAGTGAAGCGGTAGAATTTTTGAAGTTTCTGAAGCATAGTGAATACAGTGTTGTGGAACAGTTACACAAGTTGCCTGCCCGTATTTCTGTTTTATCATTACTTTTGAGTTCATAGGCCCATAGGAATGCTCTGTTAAAGGTTTTGAACCAGACTTTTGTTCCGAAAGAGTTGCCCATTGAAAAGTTGGACCAGTTAGTTTCCAATATACAAGCTGATAATTTTTTATCTTTTTCTGAGGATGAGATCCCTTCTGGGATGATTGGTAGTCAGAAGGCTTTGCACATTACAGTTAAATGTAAAGGGCATGTGTTGTCCCGGGTTTTGGTTGATAATGGTTCGGCTTTGAATGTGATGCCCTTAGTGACTTTGAAGAAGCTTCCAATAGATAGTACGCTTATGAGAATCTGCCAAAGTGTGGTTCGAGCTTTCGATGGGACTAAAAGAGAAGTGTTGGGCAAGATTGATGTTCCTCTGAATATTGGTCCAGCAGCTTATGAAGTGGAATTTCTCGTAATGGACATTATGCCTACGTACAATTGTTTGTTGGGAAGGCCTTGGATTCATCAGGCCGGTGCAGTTCCGTCCACATTGCACCAGAGACTGAAATTTGTGATTGATGGAAGGTTGATATGTATTCATGCTGAAGAGGACATTATTGCTTCTGTTTCTACTACTGCTCTGTACATTGAAGTGGATGAGCAAGCGGTCGAGTGTTCTTTCAGATCGTTGGAGTTTGCCAATGCCACATTCGTGGCTGAAGGCAAGAAGATACCAAAGCCTAGACTGTCAAATTGTACCAAAATGGGACTCAAGCTGACCCTTGGAAGAGGAGCAAAAGTTGGGAAAGGGTTAGGAAGTCAGTTACAAGGACCAGTGAATCCAATATGCCCTGTTACTAAAAGAGATCGATTTGGTTTGGGGTATCAGCCAACTCCGAGGGATAAGCTGTGGGGAATTAAGAAGGGCCAGGAAATGAGAAAGGCCAGATTGGCTGGTGAAGACCTTAGCTGGGAACCCATGATCTTCCCGCCGTTGAGCAGCATTTTCATATCTGGGGGACATATGTTTCAAGGGAATTAAAGGAACACTGAGGTGATGGTTGTGGATGCCTTGGGAGATTTAGGCATTAACGTTATAACTGATGATGAATTTGAGGAAATGAGAGTTATGGGCATTTATCCTGCACCGCCGGGCTTCGTGTTGAACAATTGGACCGCGGAAGAACTGCCTGTAGTTTACAAATCTTTTACAGAGTAATGCACTGGAACTTTCTCCATGTTGTTCATACCCTGGGGCAATAGGTGATTTTATGTAAAGGGTTAAGCTGTTTGTTTTTTCTTGCTTTCAATAAAAGATGCATTCGGTTAGTTCCAAATGGCAAACATTCTCTCATGCATTTCATTCATTCATTCATTCTTTGTTGTATATATGTATTTATTTATTTCTATTTATTTATATGAGAAAAGATCCTCCCATATGTATATATGTATATATATCTTCTCTTTTATTATTTTTTCAGGAGCTCAGATATCGATAATATGAATGCTAATGACTCTGACCCGGAGATTGATTTCGAGAAGTCTATATGTCAAGGAGAAATCGAGGATTGTGATGATGATGAGGGATGTGAACTACCTTCTGAATTGCTGAAAATGGTGGAGAATGAAGATAAGCAGATTCTGCCTCATAAAGAGCTTACTGAGATTTTGAATTTGGGGACAGATGAGGATAAGAGAGAAGTAAAGATTGGTACCACTCTGTCAGTTGGAGGTCGACATGATTTGATAGAATTGCTTCAAGAATACAAGGATGTGTTTGCTTGGTCATACAAAGATATGCCGGGTTTAGATACAGAGTTGGTTGTTCACAAACTGCCAATAAAGCCTGAATATAAACCGGTACAACAAAAACTGAGAAGAATGAGACCTGAGATGCTGCTCAAAATTAAAGAGGAAGTGAAAAAACAATTCGATGCCGGGTTTCTTAAAGTGGTCAAATATCCTGAATGGGTGGCGAATATTGTCTAGTACCGAAAAAGGATGGGAAAGTTCGAATGTGTGTCAACTACATGGATCTCAACCGAGCTAGTCCATAAGATAATTTTCCTTTGCCACATATAGACACGCTAGTGGATAATACGGCTGGAAATTCTTTGTTTTCTTTTATGGATGGTTTCTCAGGCTATAATCAAATTAAGATGAACCCTGAAGATATGGAAAAAACGACATTTATTACTATGTGGGGAACGTTTTGTTATAAAGTAATGTCTTTGGACTGAAGAACGCAGGGGCAACATATCAAAGGGCCATGGTGACGTTATTTCACGACATGATGCATAAAGAAATAGAAGTTTATGTCGATGATATGATTGTCAAAGCCAAGACAGAGGAAAAACATATTGGGAATTTGAGAAAACTCTTTAACAGACTAAGAAGATGCCAGTTAAAACTCAACCCAAATAAATGTACTTTTGGGGGTGACATCTGGAAAGTTATTGGGATTCGTAGTAAGTCAAAAAGGAATTGAAATAGACCCAGATAAAGTAAAGGCTATTCAATACTTGTCAGCCCCACGAACACAAAAAGAAGTCAGAGGATTTTTGGGGAGATTGAATTATATAGCTCGGTTTATTTCACAACTGACGGAAAAGTGTGATCCCATATTCCGCCTTCTTCGCAAGAATAACTCAGGGGAATGGAGTGAGGATTGTCAAAGAGCTTTTGAAACAGTGAAAAGATATTTGTCGAGCACTCCAATCTTGGCGCCACCCATCTCAGGCAAACCCTTGATTCTTTATTTGTCGGTTTATGAAAATTCAATGGGGTGTGTGCTGGGGCAACGTGACCAAACTGAGAAAAAAGAAAGGGCTATTTATTATCTTAGCAAGAAGTTCACTGAATGTGAGACAAGATACTCATCCATTGAAAAGTTGTGTTGCGCTTTAGTATGGGCTACCCGAAGGCTTAGACAATATATGTTGTATCATACTACTTGGCTTATATCGAAGCTTGATCCCTTGAAATATTTAATGGGTGTGCCTGCATTATCTGGAAGATTAGCTCGTTGGCAGATCTTATTGTCTGAGTTTGACATTCAGTATGTAAACCAGACGGCAATTAAAGGAAATGCTATAGCGGAATTCATTGCAAGCAGGGCTTCGAAAGAATATGAGTCGTTGAGCTTTGATTTTCCAGATGAGGATTTAATGTCTATTTCGGTAGAAGAAACAGTCGCATCCACTAGCAGATATTGGAAGTTGAACTTCGATGGTGCTTCAAATGCCTTGGGACATGGAATCGGGGCAATTTTGGTCTCACCAGAGGGAGAGCATTATCCTTTCACCAGTCGGCTTAATTTTGATTGTACAAACAATATGGCCGAGTATGAAGCTTGTGTTCTGGGTCTTAGAGCTGCAGTTGATCGCAAAATAAAAATGCTCTAAGTGTATGTGGATTTAGCTTTGGTAATTTACCAACTCAGGGGAGAATGGGAGACAAAAGATCCTAAGCTTGTAGAATACCGTAAGTTGGTTATGGAACTTGTTGAAGAATTTGAAGAATTAACTTTCAATTACCTCCCCAGAGAAGAGAATCAAATGGCAGATGCCTTAGCCACACTGGCAGCAGCGTTTAAGATGAACGAGCATTCAAATATGATGCCCATTGAAATGAAGGCTTATGAGTATCCAGCCCATTGTTTTAATATTGAAGAGGAAAAAGATGGAAACCCCTGGTATTATGATATCTTACAATATATAAGGTATCAGAGTTATCCAGAACAGGCCACTGAGAATGATAAGAGAACCATTAGAAGAATGGCATCAGGGTATGTGCTTGATGGTGAGACTCTATACAAGAAAAGTCTGGATCAGGTCTTGTTAAGATGTGTGGACGCGAAAGAAGCCAAATTGGTTCTTGAAGAAGTGCATGAGGGAATATTTGGTACCCATGCTAATGGGCATGCTATGGCTTGGCAGATTATGAGATTTGGGTATTATTGGTCAACTATGGAAACAGACTGTATCAATTATGCCCAAAAATGTCACAAGTGCCAGATTTATGGAGATAGGATACATACTCCTCCTCATCCGTTGCACGTAATGACAGCTCCGTGGCCATTCTCAATGTGGGGCATGAATGTTATTGGACAAATTTCGCCCAAAGCTTTAAATGGTCATCGCTTCATTCTGGTAGCCATAGATTATTTCACCAAGTGGGTAGAAGCGGCTTCTTATGCAAATGTTACCCAATCAACAATATACAAATTCTTAAAGAAAGAGATCATTTGTAGATATGGTTTACCCGAGAGGATTATATAATGCGTTGAATTTAAACAATAAGATGATGGACTCGGTCTGTAAACAGTTCAAAATAAAGCATCATAATTCCACCACTTATCGCCCAAAGATGAATGGGGCAGTAGAGGCTGCTCATAAAAACATCAAAAGGCTCATAGAGAAGATGACTGAGACCTATAAGGATTGGCATGAGAAGTTGCCCTTTGCTCTGTTTGCTTATCGAACTTCAGTACGGACTTCAACTGGGGCAACTCCATTTTCTTTGGTTTATGGGATGGAAGCTGTCTTACCTATTGAGGTGGAAATTCCTTCACTTCGGATTTTGTCAGAGGTAAAGCTCAATGAGGCAGAATGGGTACAGGCTAGATATGACCAATTGAATCTGATTGAAGAAAAGAGATTGAAAGCTATTTGTCATGGTCAAATGTACCAAAAACGTATGATACGAGCACATGGTAAGAAAGTTCGCCTTCGAGAATTCCATGAGGGAGATTTGGTGCTTAAAAGGATTTTGCCTATTCAGAAGGATTTCAGAGGAAAATGGATGCCCAATTGGGAAGGACCTTATGTTGTCAAGAAGGCTTTTTCTGGGGGAGCTCTAGTCCTAACTGAAATGGTCGGATCAGAATTACCATATCCAGTGAATTTCGACGCTGTTAAGAGATATTTCGCTTGAAGAAGAAATAAAAGATAAAATGAAAAAATGAAAAAAATGAAAAAAATGAAAAAAATAATAATAAAAATGAGAAGAAGAAAAAGAATAAAAGAAAAATGAGAAAAAAGAAAAATGATGGAAAAAACGAAAAGAAAAAAAGAAGAAAAAATGGAAAATGGAAGAAAAAATGAAAGAGAAAAATGAAAAAAAAAGAGAAATAAAAGGAGGGTTCAAGATGAAAACTCGAAAAGGACGTCTTGGAAGGTCTCAAGTTGAAAACCCACAAAGGGCGACTTGAGTTGAGTTTGGAATTCAGAATTCGTGCATGGTGAAGGTTCTGAATCAATTTTGGAAGTGGAAAGAGCTCCTGATATGGATAGTAACAATGACAGTTGGTGATCAGGGATGAGACTAAAGATTAATGAGTCTCGATTGAAATAACCAAGAGAAATTGAATGCACATGAGATTCAATACTAGTTTAGGGCATCCAATGATAGAGATTTGGGAGTTTAGAAGTAGCTTCATACTCTTAAGCATCACAATTTTGGAGATCTTTTGGACAGAAGCTATACTCGAGACATTCTAACGGCGTGCCAGTTCAAAAGCATTTGCATTATTGATATTAGAAGACGCCTACTCTTTTGTTCTTTTACTCTTTCCAGTTAAAAGTTTGCCATGAAATTACCTAAAAATTCTTTGCATTATATAAATAAAGAGATGTATTTTCTTGTTAATTTTCCTTTTGCAAGCATCTTATTTTGAAAGGTTAAAACATATAACTTAACTTGAAGTACATGAGATCATTTTGTATTATTGTGCAAAAGGTTTTGGAAAATGCAGGTATTCTGAAGTTGACAATGGTTTAAACATGTAAGCTTGTGTGGCTACGGGAAACTAAAATCTTGGAATTCATAAGAAATCTCAGCCATGATAAGAAGACCCAAAGAGATTGTCATTGGTCAAGAAGTTGGTCATGGATACTGGCGGGTTTCAAGAAATGAAAGAGTCAAGGTTCTGTTAAGCCGAGAGATACGGAATTGAGATTGTTAACTGGGGTGAATTGGTCAAATGTTCTGTACCCAAGATGAAACCGAGTTCTATTGAGATCAAAAGGAGATAGAGTTCCTTCGAAGAAGAAAACACACTGAATCGCATAATTGCATACATTTTAGGCATGATTAGGATCATAACATTCATAATTGCATGATGACTTAAGCAGTTACAGGTTTTCCAGGGATAGCTGAAGATATTGAAGCATAGAGATGAACATAACTGGTTTGGAGATTTTGAAAAGAATGATGTTTATACGAAAACTGAGCCAAAACATACATTAATGTTTGGTAATGTTTGATTTTTAGGTTTGGCCTTCGAAACAAGTCAAACTTAAGCCTTCACGAAAGAGTAGTGAAGCAAATCATCTATAAGCCTTCATGAAAGAATAGTGAAGCAAATACGTTTGATGAAGATTGTTCGAGTTCTATACTCCCTGAATGAATAAGGAGCGAACCCGTTTTATGAAGATTGTTCGAGTTATATACTCTCTGAAGGAATAGAGAGCGGACCCGTTTTATTAAGATTGTTCGAGTTCTATACTCTCTGAATGAATAGAGAGCGGACCCGTTTTTATGAAGATTGTTCGAGTTTTATACTCTCTGATGGAATAGGGAGCATACCCGTTTTATGAAGATTGTTCGAGTTCTATACTCTCTGAAGGAATAGAGAGCGGACCCGTTTTATTAAGATTGTTCGAGTTCTATACTCTCTGAAGGAATATAGAGCGGACCCGTTTTTATGAAGATTGTTCGAGTTCTATACTCTCTGAAGGAATAGAGAGCGGACCCGTTTTATTAAGATTATTCGAGTTCTATACTCTCTGAAGGAATAGAGAGCGGACCCGTTTTTATGAAGATTGTTCGAGTTATATACTCTCTGATGGAATAGGGAGCGGACCCGTTTTATAAAGATTGTTCGAGTTCTATACTCTCTGAAGGAATAGAGAGCGGACCCGTTTTATGAAGATTGTTCGAGTTTTATACTCTCTGATGGAATAGGGAGCGGACCCGTTTTATGAAGATTGTTCGAGTTCTATACTCTCTGAAGAAATAGAGAGCGGACCCGTTTTATTAAGATTGTTCGAGTTCTATACTCTCTGAAGGAATAGAGAGCGGACCCGTTTTATGAAGATTGTTCGAGTTCTATAATCCATGAATGAATAGGGAGCAGACACATTTGCTGAAGATTGGTCGAGTCTTATACTCCCTGAAGGGATAGGGAGCAGACCCGTCATTCGAAGATATTTCAAGTCTTGTTTATCCTGAAGTAATAGAGAAGCGGATTAATCTTTTGAAGTTCTCATGACCGGACAAATTCGATCATCTTTTGGTCTTTGCTCTATTCTCGTTACACGACCATGAGCAAAGAGGGGCAGTTGTAGATACTCGATTTGTCCGGGGCTAAGTCAGAGAAGACTCGAAGTGATGACAGACTTAAAGAAAGCCCAACTAGGTTGAGGCCCAATTCAAGTCCAATGGTCCTCAGCAGAGTGAACTCTAGTCCACTTGAAACTTGGAAAGTAAAATGGTTATAGGAAGTTAATAAATGTGAGAAGGGAGTTAACAAAGGATGGATCAATTATTGGTAGTGGAGGAGCATGAAACTTGGGCAATTAAAAACTATAAAGAGTCAGTTTTTTTAGGGGTAATTAACCGCTGGAATTTATCAACTAAAGCAGAGAGGACACAACGGAAAAAAGAGGATTGAACCGAGAGAGAGTCAGAGGATATTTTTGACACCAGAAGCTAAGAAAGCAGCAATTAGGGACTACCAGCCGAAAACCCTATTGATCATCAACAATTCCACATTGTAAAAGAATACAAAGAGAGACAACAAGGGGTAATCAGAGAATCAGAGAAAAAATGAAGGAATTCCTTCTTCATATTACTGCCGTTTTTTAGCCAAAAGAAAGGACCAGTTTCAAAAAGCATTTGGTCATCATTTGGAAACTTTTTTTTTTCCGTTTTGGGTTGTAAACGAAAGAGAACAAAAGTGAGGGGGGACATCAAAAAAAATTACACAGAGGAGAGGAAGTGACAGAGAAAGAACAAAAAAACAGAGGGAGATTTCTCGTATTCGGATTAGAGAGAAAACTGAAAGCAACAAGTGTAAGAGAATCTTTTAAGATCAATACAAAGAAATTTTCCAGATTTCATTTTTCCTTTGGTTTGAAAGAAAATCATAGCACTCATTAAGGTATATATATTTTTTTTCTTCCGTTTCATTTTTCAGTGCTTTATATGTGTTTATGGTATGAATACGAGTAAGTAAATCACTAGAGAAAGAAAACCAAGTAGTTTACCTTGCCCTTGAGAGGAGACGAGGTAGGCTTTGAGTAAAGATCATCATTTCTAGCGGTGGTTTGTAGACGTTGGTCTTGTTTCTCAGACAAAAAAAAAGAGAAAAATAGTGAAGATAGAAGAAAGCTGAGTTTAGGTTTGGTTCAGGGTCAAGTGTCGTACCTTGTGCGTTGTTTTCTTTCCTCATTGGAGCTTTTGAGGGCGAACCACGGTGGTTGTGTGGTTCGGCCGTGACAGTTAAAGGGGTAGTGTAACCCTTAGGTCCTGTTTTTTGTTGTGAGAGACTCAAAACTAAGGAGTTTAGAGTCGTTAGAGGATGGAGGCCACGACAGCTTTGTGTTGTCTAGGGTTAGGGATGAATAAGGTTGAGAGAAAGGGATAGAGGAGTCTGAGAGTGAAGAACGGCGCTGGGGACTGGTTTAACATAAATGAGACTAGGGTTTAAGTTGCTCAAAATATTACGCATATATTAGATCTTCAAAACGGCAGCACTTTGGGAATGGCCGATTCGTGTGGGTTATTCAACACTTGGGTCATTTGAACTTTCAGTTTCATGCATTTTAATCCTTAAATCATTGTGTTCGTGTTTCTAATTTTGTCTCTGTGTTTTATCCGAATTTAATATTAGTCTTTAATATGAATGTATTTAAATATTTATTGTTTAGACATTTCACTTTTAACTTTTCCATGTTTTGTTTCAGTCCCTAGGTCGAAGTTTACATGTTTCTAATTCTGTCTATTTATTTTATATTCATTTAATTTTCATCCTAAATGTTGATGTGTTTGATTTCCGTTGTTTAGATATTAGACTTTAAAATTTTTACATGTTTCATTTTAGTCCATGTTTAAGTTTCTTATGTGTATGTATGTATGATTAGTTAGGATTCGTTTAGGGTGTATGTTTATCCTAGGTTTGAATGATGGTGATATGTGTGCATATGTAATTACATGGTTCATAAGCATGGATTTAGATGTAATATATCCTTTTATTTAATTGATCTTTGCATGACATCATCTTTGCATAATGTATGATACCCTCATGAGCATAACTCGACAATATTACATAATTGGATTAAGGGTAATATACTTTTAATTTAAAATTGTTTTAAGTGGGCAGTCATAATTGATTTGAGGTCCGCTTTTAATGATTTTAAATTAAAAGTGTATCCCGAAAGTGAAACAAAAAATTGATTTGTCACCTAAAATTTGGGAACGAAAGAAAATGAAATGTTCGTTTATTTAAATTTATCGAGAAAAGGTTGTTATTACTTTTAAGATCTGGTCTCGATATTTGTAAATAATCGAACATTCTTTATCTTTCTAAAACGGCTCGGTAATTTTAATTTAATTTATTTGAGTGCTTTTGAATGTTTTTAAATTTACATTTTTGTTTTATGGGATCAAAAATCAAATTAAGTTCGAATTTGTAAAGTTCAATGCAAGGACATTAATTAATCGACTAGGTACCAATTTAGGGCGTCGTGGGGGTGCTAATCCTTCCCTACACGTAACCGACTCCCGAATTCGGATTTTGGTAACGCAGACCTTAATTTGTTGTTTTAATTAAAATTAATTTTTATTTAAAATAACAAACATCTTTGGGTGCCCAATCACACCCTAATCAAAGATTGGTGGCGACTCTTTGAACAATATGTTTTAACGAAAAGAAAATTTCAAATTTTTCGAAACGAGAGGTTTTTTAAATCGCATTTGTTTTTTAAATTAAAAATCAATTAAAAAAGGTAAATTAAAAATTAATGTGGTTTTTTAAAATCTCACCTTTTAACCTTTGAGGGAAAAATCGTTTCGACAGAAAGAAATAACATCTTCAAATTCCATGCATTTAAGAAGCACCAATTAGAGCTTGACAACTTCTAGTACATGGCAAATAAAATGAAAGTCAGATCTCCTTAAGAGAATGTGAATAAATCATATTTATAGAAGAATGAAAACCAATGTGTATCACTGCGAAGAATGAAATACCTTCCCCTATTTGATCGACTGAAAACAATAACATCAGCACCTAGTCGCATGGTGCTTGTCTTGAATCCATTGCCATCTGCACAAACATACACATGCCAAAATCAACATAAATATCATGAATATTAGGAGTAATATAGCAGAAAAAATGCAGGTCTTTCTATTAAGCATCATTTCAGAAAAGTAACCAAAGTAATGAGCATAGAAAAAAGGGAAACGGAATAACTGAGTCAAGGGATGAACAGATAAAACAAGTTAAGTAATAAGAATTACATTGTCCAATCGTTGTATTTGATTTCTTAGAAGAATAACCCAAGCTCATACATTTCCGTATCAAGGCAGGATCCATTCCTCCACCATCATCTGCAATACAAGCAAGAAGTTAAAGATTTTACATCATAAAACACCGTCATTCTAGGATTGAAATAAGCAGGCCGAAGTAATATTATCATACCTAAAAAAAGTAAAGCTGGACCAGGAGAATTATCCTTCATTACATCAATTTTATCAACCTTAATAAAAGTTGCACCATGTTGGATCTATACATGCAGGTAGAAATGTCAGTTAAAAACTGATTCAAAACTGTGATTAAGGATCAATACGCAAATGATTCAGATTAATGCTTACTTCATCAACAGCATTGTCCATTATCTCGGCAATTGCTGCAAATTTAGAAGGGAAAGGCTATAATCCTACTAATACAAACATAAACAAAGAGGTAAATTCCAGGACTCAGCTAGTGGGAATTCCAGTTACCTCCAAAAGCCCACTTATGCGACGTCGCATTTGAATGAAGAAACTTGGGATGTACACGAGCGTGCTCCAATGAGCCTTGGAATCAAAAGAAGAAGAAAAAGAAAAAGAAAAGTTCAATCCGATAAATAAACGAAAAATCATTCGATGCATAAAAATTTAGCGAAAAGAGAAAAGAAAGGAGAACCTTGAAGCAGAGCAGGTTTGGAAGAGGGGCCAAAGACATAATTCCCGGCCTTCCAGAAACTCCGAGACTCTAGGGTTTCATTGGAGGGAAGTACCGGCGTTGTGGTGACTCCTGAGCTTTGCGGCATTTCGGGTCTGGATAATTTTTTTTTCGGAGTTTATATTTTTAAAATTTTAATTAATTTATAATAACATAATTTTTTTATAAATTAAATTAATAGTGCTCATCGTTAATGGTGTTATCGTTATTTGTCATTTTTGTCTTGTATGTCCATAAATTACACGCACCCAACAGTGATCATGGGGTAACCGCCTATTGTTAAGGGCTGCACCTTGAGTTAAATAAGTTATAACGATGATCGGTAAATAATATTTTTATTACTAAAATTTCAAAAGTTTTAAATATAATCATTAAATTAATATAACGATCATTCGACCGGTAACATTTTTAGTTACGTGAAGAGAATTGATTTGACACTTTTCAACCTTTCAAGAGAAACATAAATTCTACATAAACTTTTCTTCTTCCTCAATCCAGCTTAAATCTTCTCACCTTCCCTTCTTCATTGAAGCCCCGGAAAAACTTCAAATTACGGCAAATTTCCAATCCAATTCAACCAATTCCCTAGGTTGAGAGAAGCCATCAATCATCGAACATGAGAAGCATATGATAACGTATAGAATCCGGTGGGAAAAAGTTGATATTATCCTCCTAGACTTATAATAAGATAACTATTCGACAATAAATGTGTTTTAAAGTGTAAATTTTAGTTACCCGATAAAATATGTATATTATTTTAGAATTTAAAATTTACTTAAATATAATTTATTGTAAAGAGTTAAAATTTATTCTTTTTATTAATCTTTTATTTTTTAATGAATGGAAATCAAATTTTCTTTATCATTTGCAATGTTAAGATATAAAAAAAATCTTTGTTAGATGATTATTTTGTAACTTTTAATAGTTGAGAGACTCAATAAAATAACGACCTATAGTTAGATATCATTTATATACTTTACACGTATATAAATTAGAATAATTTTAATTTTAGTATTAGTGAATAACGATGATTATTCATCATATATATAGGGATGGTAAACTGGTACAGTTTCGTGGATTTCGCACCGCATCCGCTTTAATTGGAGCGGGGATGGGTATAATTTTAACGGGTAGTGGGCGAGTGTAGATTTATAAAGTGGTACCCGTCGTGGGTGGTGGGTGGGTAATGGGTTTGAGACATTACCCGCCCCGCATCCGCCTGCCCCACATCCGCCCGCCCAGCTAAATATCTATTAAATTTTGGACCATTATGAATTTAGGTGTAATTTTATAGACTAATTTATAAATTTTAATATTATATAATATATAACATATAATTTAACTAAATATTAAGGATATTTAGTCTTTAATCTGGTATTTAATTAGGGAAATATTCGGCTCTTTGATTAAACCCATAATCCCACTAACCACGTCACTTTCCATGTTCTTTAGCCCATGTTGTCCATCCAAACACAAATTAGCCGTACTATAAGCATTAACATCAAAAGCAGCAGTTTCCATGTTCTTTAGCCCCTCAAAACCCATATTAGGCGCACTATGAGCATTAACATCGAAAGCAACACAACAATCCAGCTCTGCGACTACATGCTCCCTACAATCTGTCTCCATAACATTCGTAGAGCCACTCCTCTGACAAATTGAAGAATGCGCTGCTACCCCATCACGAACTGTCTGGGAACCAACTCCAACATCTCATTAGTTTGTTGTCAGGCGGGTCTAGATGGGTATGTCGCTAGTGGGTAGTGGGTGTGGGGATGGATTTGAAAATGTACCCGCGTAGGCGGGTGTGGATTTGAAAATTTGTACCCATCATGGGTGGTGGGCGGGTGGTGGATTGAAAAATAATAGGTGGGTATGGGGATGGAGGAGGGGATATTCGCACCCGACCCGCCCGTTTGCCATCCCTAATCATATATTGAGTTTCAACAAAAATAATAACAAAAATCCATTCTAAACATAAATCTATAATTTTTGAGAAGATTATCGAATCTATAATAATGGTCGAAGAAGAAAAGAGGGAAAACGGAAAATATAGCCATTAAAATTCACACTTTAAAAAGTAATTGTATGTATCCAACCTTCAATCACGGGTAGGTAGGTGTGAATACCTCTTTTCTAATCTCCATACATATTTAATATTTTCATATTCATCATCTACTTACTACTCACAACGAATAAAATTGTTAAATTCATATCTGCCTATACATGTACATTCTCAAATCCATCATCATACCCACTAACCAACTAGATATCTACCATCCATCTCCTACATGTCTGTACTCGCCAATACCCGCCTAGCAGCAACCGCACATATTACATAAGCAACAAAATATAAAAATATATATATATATATATATATTAAGAAGCATAATAAAATAAACCAAAGATTAATTGAGTTTATAACCTAACATTTAGTTAAATTACAAGTCATGTCCTATAAAATCTTAAGATTTATGGAATAATCTTTAAAATTATACTTAAATTCATAATGATCTAAAATTTATATGATGGGTAATTAGTGGTCGAGAAGATGAGGGGTAGACGGATGCGGAGCAAGTAAGGTCTTAAACCTATCACCTACCCATTATCCATGGCGGATATGACTTTTTTCATCCACACTCGTCCACTACCCACTAAACTTATATTTATCCCTCTCCCAATTGGAACAGGTGCGATACGAAATTAACGAAACTGTACTTGTCTACCATCCTACCATTAACTGGTGAGATTTTTGCTTTAATAATCTAATGACCGTCTTTGTTGTTCCTATATCTTGTTGAATAATGCTTTGTTATAATATTAAAATTAGCCCTAAAATTTTATTAGAATGGTAATTTTGGTCTATATTATTTTTAGAGCATTTTGATTCCAAAATTTTATTTTAGGGTAAAAATAGCGACTGATAAAATAGTTACTTTGGTCATTATTCTTTATTTATAGAGTGTTTTGACCCTCAATGTTTCATTATATGGTAAAAACTCCTATTTTGAAGTATTGATCATTTGTTAACTAACGATTTTTATCCATATATAGTCTTTTTGTCCCAAAATGAAACGCTGATATCCAAAAAATTAAAAAAAAAAGAGGCCAAAATGGCCATTTTAGTACACGTGGGGGACTAATTTTAATATTATGTCTATTGTTTTTTACTATTTATCTTTTCAAATGAATTTATATATATATATATATATATTTGGGTATTTTCGAGAGCCGGGACTTGATGCAATGTATCAAGAAAGCAATGGCTACGTTGGATGATGGCATTAGGGTTGACTGCTCGACGTTCTTGCCCTGCAAGCAACAAACAAACATGAACTTCCCGTTGGTCCTTTTCTTTATTTAATTTCAGGAATACTATAAACTAATTGTTGCTCTTTGGTCTAATTCAAAAGCTTGTGATTTTTAACTTTTCCCAGTCAAAGTTGAAGCTCACCCACCTTTCTCACCAAGCCGTTGTGTCTTATCCTAGAGACTGAACGAAAGGCGAGTGACCATGAATGAGGTGAGTCACAAAAGAATCAAAACAAATGGGATATGGCTGCAGATAGCAGAGCAAGGGATAGGCCCGCTGGTTCTATTGCTTCATGGGTTCCCTGAAATATGGTATTCATGGCGCCACCAGATCACTTTCTTGGCTAACCATGGCTACCATGTAGTTGCTCCTGGTCTGAGAGGCTATGGAGATTCGGGTTCCCCACCTAGCCCAAGCTCCTACACTAATATGTACCTTGTTGGGGACATCATTGGCCTGCTTTACCATTTTGGGGAACAACAGGTATTCCCACTTCCCTTGAACATGCTTATTTGTATAGGGTATAAATGAACAGAACTTGAACAAATAAAGTTTTTGTTTATTTTTGAACAAAAATTTTGTTCATACTTATTTAACTTTATAAACAATCGTTATAAGAACAGTTCGTTGACCACCTATACGTTTACACCCGTACTTGTCTGTTGCCAATTTGTATTGTGTTAAAAGCAAATAGAGTATGTTAACAGTTTTGAGTTGTTACTTACGGCAAGGCTTCTGTTGTGGGACATGACTGGGGAGCTGTTATCGGGTGGCACTTATCCCTGTTTAGGCCTAAGAGAATCAAAGGATTGATTAACATATCTTCCATACTATGGAAGAAACCCGGATGCCAAACTTACTGAATTCTTGATTACAACATTTGGAAATGGATTTTACATTTCCCAATTCCAGGTAAATTCTGTATAATACAGTAAAAAACAAGGATGTTCATTAGGTCTTTATGAAGAAGTTCTGGCTGATTACTCAAGACTGATAATCTGATAGCTCCTCCTGGAATGGAGATTATCGATTATCTGGAGATACCATCGCGGTTACCACCATGGATGACCGAAGATGAACTGCAGGTTTTTGCAGACAAGTTTCGGGAATCCGGCTTCGTCGGAGCTTTTCATTACTACCGTGCTATGGAGTGATATTATGCTTACGACCATTTGTCGGAAAGGGATGACTTGGTGTGTGTGTGTTTGTTGGTTCTTCATGGCAGAGCTAATGTTCAAATTGGTAAAACAGGAACTGGGAGCTCACTGCACCCTGGCAAGGATAAAAAATCAGTGTTCCTGTGAAATTTATGGTGGGTGAGAATGATGTCGGTTTCGAAATCAATGGCACAAGACAATACGTACAGGGAAGTGAGTTGAGGAGCCTTGTTCCCAAACTGGAAGTTGTTATTCTAGATGGTCATCATTTTCTACAGCAAGAAAAACACCACCAACTCTCGGAATAAATTCTATCGTTTCTTCGCAAATTTCCTGCAGAATAGCCAGCTTCTCACCATGATTTTCCCCAGAAAATAACTAGCCTCTGTTTACTGTCTTCTCCTGTATGTTTGTCTTGTGTGGTTAATTACCACAAATATATAAGCAAGTTAATCTTCAGCAAGGATAAAACCACAATAATGCCTGTCTTGCTCATGAAACTATTAACTTTTAAGAAATAGATAAAAAGGGTAATTCAATGTTCAATTTTTTCATCTTCTTTGCGTTCTTAGTTTATTAATTATCAATTTATCGTGTTTTGTTTTTACCTGATTTGTATTTTTATTTTGTTAAAATTTATTCTTTTTGACATCAGAGGTCGTGAGGATTTAATGTTATGGCTTCCACCATTGTAAATACTTCTTGTACAGTTCCTTCAGTTAAAGGTTTTGAGAATCAAAACTATGTTGGTCTTAGACCAATCTCTAGTTGAAAGTTCAATTCAGCTATAACTTCAAGCTTTGGACGTTATAGCCCCCCCCCCCCCCCTTTTGGCTTTTTTGATGTGTTTTGATTGGTGATGAAATGGGATTGTCTGTGAAATCTTTACCCACTTGAACTGGTTTCACGAAGAGAGGAAAATGGAATTTGCTGCCTTTCGTGAAGAGAGGGAACTCATTTTTAATTGAGAAATCATGATCATAAAAAATCATTAAATTATAAAAAGTGTCTATCAATGCACGATAGACAGAACAGTACACGTCATCAATTTGTTATTTTTTAAAAGATCAAAAAAATTAATGTATTAAAAAATTATAACTTAAATACATGGATGACAGGTTAATGAAACCAAACCTATGGATCAAAGATGAGTTAAAGAGATAGACAGAGACATTTGAACATTTTTTTTAAATTTTACTCTATATTATATTAGTTGTATGTCATGTTTTATTATTTTAATTTGGTATAATATACAAAAATACTCCTAACGCTTAATTAAGTAATTATTTTAATTTTGAAATATTTTACTTTCTAACGTTTTATTTAGGATAAAATTCTTCTAATATTTGATTAAATAATTACTTTGATCAAAATTTTTTTTAGAGTGTTTTGGCTCTAAACGCCTCATTTTAGGACAAAAGCAAAAAAAAATTCTTATTTTGGAGCGTTAAGGATACGTTGACTAACGATTTTTATTCATGGAGGATTTTTTACCTTAAAATAAAATTAATAGTCAAAATACTTTAAAAAAAAGAACAAAAGTGATTATTTAATCAAAACGTTATAGCATTAGGATTTTTTATTTTTTATTTAATGATAGAATAATTGTATAAACTAATAAGAATATCGTATAACCTAGCTATGGTTTCGCCCTTGGTTATCACAAATCTTCATCCATGGATCCTTTTATTAAAGATTAGTTAGAGTACAATAACATCTTTTAAAACAAACGAGAAAAAAAAAACAACGACAACAACCATAAAACAAGGACTAACAACACAGAATTAAATCAGTACATGATCATATCAGCAGCTGCAATAATGGGCTGATGATTGACAGAGAAACAATTCCATTGATTAACATTCATGAAGGTGTCATCATCAACCTGATGATGATGGTGATCATATCCGAAAACCCCGTCGCCTGAGTTTATGAAACCGACGATTTCATTGAGAGATTGAAGCCTACCACTGAGCTCAGCCATTTGAGCTCTAAGAACAGAGTTCTCAGCCTCGATGTTCAAGTAAAGTTCACCGGCTATGTTGATGCTCGTAAGGATCTGGTGGTTTTCAGTTGTGAGCTGAGAAACTTGGCCCATCAGATCATCTAGGTGCTTTTGTTTACGCATCCGAGACGGGTGAGCGGCTTCCCTGTTGGGCACCATTCTTTTGCGCTTCCTTTCGTTTAAAATCTGCTGAAAATCCTCGTCGGAGCCTGGGCTTCTCAGGGAGGTTGATGATCCAGTTCTTGACGCAGTCATATCAATAACAATTATAACAAAACAAAAAGGTAAAAAATGATTATTTATGAAAAATGGTTAAGGAAGTAACTGATTATTTGTGAAAATATGTAGAACCAGTAAAGGAAAACAACGGAGAAAGATTGAACAAAATGGGTCCGGCGCCTGAGAGTAGAGTTTATCATAAAACCCGAAAGGAGGATTTCACTGAGTATCGGAGACATGAGTCTCGAGCTTCAAGATCTTAATATGCATCAAAAGATCGATTTGGCTAAGAAAATCTGGGATCTTTCTGTATATATGAAGAATATCTAGAGATAGAGAGCTACTTGGGAAAGTTGGAGGGAAAAGAAGATGATAAAGGAAAGAGGTTGATGGTGGGATTCCTCGGGCGTTTTTAAACAAAAAAAATAAAATAAACCAAACCAAACCATCAATAATTACCAATTAGACATCATTTTTTTAAATATTATTTACATAGCATCATTTTTAACAAAATGATAATAAAATATGTTAAGATACGCACCTTGCAGACATAAACAAAAGAAGTGAATCATGAAATTTACCTTCCTAAGTTCTATCTGAACTAGTCCCACATTAAAAAAAGCGCACATTATAATCCGCACCTTCGTAAGGAATTTGAAACATGACGAAAGACACAAATCATGATTCACACCTTCCATTAAATTATCATCTAACCCCCTTTAATAATGTCTAGCTACCCATCCCTCTCCTCCTATAAATACCCTTTCCACCTAGGTTTGAGTTCACTTTCATGTATTTAATTATTTTCATTGTTCCCAAAAAAAGAATCTAATGGTGCGAATTAATAACATAAAAATATAAATAATAATTTTTAAAAAATGACATGACAATGCCACATCAACGATCTCGATAACCTGAACGTTCACTTCAACTTTTCACTTTACGCGTGCACACTTCGTCAGCCCCCAACGTTGATCGTCAGTTGACTGACGATTTTCATCTATAATAGATTATTTTTGACTCAAAAATAAACGTTTAGTGCATAAACATTTCAAAAAAATAATACAAATAAATTTAACACTATTATCAAACGTTAAAATTATTCTATTGCATTATGTCTAATTAATATAAAGCATGTGGCTTTTCTTAAGCAGGAGCAGGTGATGGTTAAAGGTTCACTTAACAAATTTTATATTTAGAGATTCCCTAAACTAGCCTTTCCCAATGACCACTTTAGTATTTATAAATTCAAAAAATTCGTTGATTTTGCTTTCGGGCGAGTTGAAGGTGCGTAGTTTCTTATGATTCATTGTTCCCCAATTACCCTTTGTTTAAATGAAACAAAATTTACCATCGTAATCACATCAACCAAATGATTTTAATAGTTGATAGATTTATTATGTTTATAAAATTTTAGTTTAAATATCACGTGTATATAAATATGAGTATTTATTATTAAATGATTGATCGTTTTTTAATAAATAATATCTTATATTTGTATGAAATTTATAAAAAAAATTATCAATCGTAGTTAATGCCAAACATAGAATCTGAAGCCAATATGTTTGTTTTAACAAGGTCGAGCATGGTTGGCTGGTTTTGGACCAACCTAATTTCTTTTTGATTCTGTCGGCGGACAATAATAGAACATTACGGATTGGTATTATAGAAATGGGACGTTGATCAACATGAAAATGCTTGTTGAAAACGTTTGGTTTTTAACGAGAAATTTTTTAATAGTTTGAGATGATTATAAAAAATATTTATTTAATTTTTCTAGTTTAGTAATAACATATACATATTTTACAGATATATTTGTTCGAATTTAAGATCTCTAAGAAGAACAATATATATTTTTTTATCATTAAGGCTATTTGATGGGTTCACTTGATGAAGTTCTTTTAGTAAAGAGTTTTTTTTCTTAATAAATTTTAAATTTAATCCTAATCATACCTAGAGGAAGGGGGAGCTTTAAGAAAAAGGAAAGAAAGTGCTCCTAGTAAGTCTGTAATCCATGATCATTGGCAGATTCATTAAAGACTGAGAGGTGGACACATGTCTCTCATGAAATCCAAATTTTCTTCTATTAGCTACCTATTTTATCAATAGTATCCACCCTAAAATTCTATTTGTGCTATCCTATTTAAAGAAATTTTGTTATGTTAACATATATGTATCTACCACTAAAAATATTTCTAGATTCGTCACCACCCATAACCTAAAGAATTATAAGGAAACAAAGATATGCAATTTGGTCAACCGACTATATATATTTGTTTTTTCAAATAGAAAAAGTTAAGTGCTTTGAATATAAAATATTTATGTGACATACACTATGCAAACATTATAATATATTATAGAGAAAATAACCTCAGTGACCAAAAATGCCTTATAATATACGATTTTAACCAACTTTTTTGGATTTGCCAAAATGACCAACTAAATCGCAATGCGATCGATAATTCGCAACGCGATCTCCGGTATCGCAAATCAGTTTCCAGATTCGCAACGCGATTCTGACTATCGCATTGCGATTTTCCAAATTCGCGTTGCGATTTTCCAAATTCGCGTTGCGATTTTCCGACTATCGCAATGCGAATATGTAAATCGCAATGCGAGTATGTAAATCGCAATGCGAATATGTAAATCGCAATGCGATTATGACTATCGCAACGCGATTCTGACTGTCGCAACACTGAATTTCAAATTCGCAACAGGTTTTAGTTTCTCAACACAAATGTTTTGGGTATATAACTACACAGCAGAAGCAACTCATAACCTAAATCCCTAAATCGCAACTCATTCCATCTCCATCTATCACTCTCTTCGGCAACATCCGTTCCTATATCCAACGACATCCTTCCCCATCCGGCATCAGGTTTTAGTTTCGCAGCTCGTTTGTTTAGTAAATTAATTTACAATAATGAAATCATCTAATGTTGATCATGTTTGGATAGATTTGTGTTTTGGAGGGTCATGGGAGAATGTTCATGGTGTTTTACAATATATACCTTTATCCATGAATTTTCAACTAAAACTGTCATTAAAAAAGTTAACTTATGAAACTCTAATGTTACGTGTTGCAAATAAATTGAATTTAGAGCCCTTAAGTGGATTTAGGCTATCTTATCAGAGAAAATGTAAAGTTTATTTGTTAACCGACAATGAAGATTGTAACATCCCAAATTATGGGTTAGTGACCAATTTGTAAAGTTTCAGAATTTGATGACTAAAGTAGAAGAATGAAATAGTTCAATGATTATTGGATATATATGATGAAGGTTATTTAGTAATTATTAAAGGAAATAAAGGGTAAAATGGTCATTTGATCATTTAAGGAATTAAAAATGGAATTATATACACGTGGAAAGGGAGAGAATTCTCCAGAGTTCTCTTCTCCTTTCTTCTTCTTCTTTACGTGGAAGCCAAGAGCCAAAGGTAAGTTTCTTTGTTTATAAATGAATTGTTGATTTTAAGGTTGGGTTTTGATTATTAGATGATAACTAAGCTTAAGGAAAGTTTAAATCATCTTAAAAACAAAGGATGGTGGAATTAGGAGAGATTAAAGATTTTGAGTTTTTGAATGAAATCTTGAAATAAAGTTGATAAGTTGAATTTTAAGTTGAATTTGACTTGTCAATAGTTAAATTAAGAGATTTGGAGTAATAGAATTGGATTTGAAACATATTGCAGAATTGATGTATTTATTGAATTACATATGGAAGATAGGATTTTGAGGTTTAAGATGAAATAAATGAATATAGATTGGTTTAAGTATGTGTACTAGAGTTAAGAATGAAAAAGGGGATGATATATGGAGTGTTTGAGAGGAAATGAAGTAATTTTCGTGCTGAAAAATGATTTCTGGGTTAGGGGGAATCGATACCCATTCAAAGGGGTACCGATACCCTCTCAAACGATAGAATTCCAGAATGTCAAGGGGGAATCGATACCCCCACAGGAGGGAACCGATTCCCCCTAAAGGAAAATTGTAAATATTGGTTTAATAAGTTCGTTTAAGTTTCTAGTATCAAATTACAAGGTGTAGGTATCTAATAATTGTCTTAAAATGTATAATTATGTAGATTCAGAGCCTAAACGAGTTCCGGAATCATTGACAAGTAGTATCGATAAAAAAGGAAGATATGATATTGGAATGGACTAGTGAGGCCAGGTGAGTACAATTTCATTGTACTTATGTTATCGAATAAGCATTGGCTTGTAATGAGCCAGTGACGGAGTTACTATGGTAATAAGTAACTCTTAAAATGTTATTTGATTTGTGAATTTTATGTATGCATGAGTATATGTGACATGATTTATATGATTCATATGATATTTGATATTGAACTACATGAATATATGAGAATATTATATCAGTTGTGTGATATGTTTGACATGTTATTTTATGTGATACGTGTTTACATGATCACAAGACATGAGTTATATGAAAGAGAAAGTATATGTGATATGTGAAAGTGAATCCTATGTTTATATGAATATGAACTCATATGAGAATGGATATGAACTACTTGATTACATGTATATGTGAAGGAAACCATGAGCTTATATGAATATATGATATGGTTACATGAATATGTAAAAGGATATAAAAGATAATGCCCATGTTATGTGTCATGAGAGCTAGGGGTATAGTTGGCATGCCAATAGTCGAGGGTCTATGTGGTCCTTCGGGACATATATGTATTCTTTGGAACATGTGTGAAGTATGGTGAGACACATACTTGATCCTTGGCATATGTATATGATTCTTAAGGAATGATATATGGTTCTTCGGGACATATATGTATTCTTTGGAACATGTGTGAAGTCTGGTGAGACACATACTTGATCCCTAGTATATGTATATGATTCTTAAGGAATGATATGTGGTCCTTATGGACATTATTATATGGCACTACGGTACAATTCTACGCGGCACTCCGGTGCAATTATTATATGGCACTACGGTGCAATTCTACGCGGTACTCCGGTGCAATTATATGTGGCACTTCGGTGCAATTATATGAGCTGTGGTGACAGCATTAGTG